TGTGTAGAGGCCTGGAGCTTCCTCTTTATGTCCATCTGTTGCCTGCTGTGAGTACTCTAAGGGAATTCTGAAAGTTCATAATGTTAAAAGAAAGTTTGAAAATGTTTATGTATTTTCTTAATTTTCTTTTTTGGTAGGGGGCGTTTCGAGACAGGGTTTCTCTGTGTAGCTTTGGAGCCTATCCTGGCACTCGCTCTGGAGACCAGGCTGGCCTCGAACTCACAGAGATCCACCTGCCTCTGCCTCCAGAGTGCTGGGTTTAAAGGCGTATGCCTCCAACACCCGGCCTTAATTTTCTTAATCAGGGTCTTTTAAATAAATGCTTGTGAATAATCCATTAATGGAGTACAATTTGCATGCCAGGAAATTGAATCTGATTTTCACACTATTCTGAGATATACAACAATTACTACAATCTAAATTTAACCCATTTTAAAGGTACCTACAATTTAACTTCAGAATAACTTGAAGACACCAGAACTGAAGTTAGATAAAAATAAAATGGGCACAGCCAATCCTAGAAGGAAAGAAGAAACCATGAGACTGAGAAGCATCGTCTAAACGAGGAATGTGGAATGAGAATACCCATAGGCCAAGGCCAAAGCTGAGCATCAGGTCAGCATGAGACAATAGGCAAGTGAGGTCTGCAAAGTGCCTTCAAATAGTGGACTGGGTGTCAGGGTGTGTGGTGTGCTGTGCCCAGGGGAAGAGGGGATTCCAGACTACTGTACCCAGGGGAGGAGGGGATTCCAGACTACTGTACCCAGGGGAGGAGGGGATTCCAGACTACTGTACCAAGGGAAGGAGGGGATTCAAGACTACTGTACTCAGCGGAGGAGGGGATGCTAGACTACTGTACCCAAAGGAGGAGGGAATTCCAGACTACTGTACCCAAGGGAGAAGGGAATTCCAGACTAATGTACCCAGGGGAGGAGGGGATTCCAGACTACTGTACCCAGGGGAGGAGGGGATTCCAGACTACTGTACCCAGGGGAGGAGGACATGTTAGAATACAATGCTCAACAGGACTTGGAAGCTGATGCACTCAAGACTTAGCCAGTTAAAGAGTTCCTATCACAAGTGATCTAAAGGATCTGCTATCAGAAATGTACCCTCAGCTCCAACATAGACCACCTTCAAGGAAGTGGTTTGCCGTCCAGTCAGGCCCAGGTAACAGGCTTCCCTTTGGCTGAGGCAAAGAAGGAAGAGATGAGTGCACAAGAGACAGACTATGAAGGAGCCTGGGGTGCAAGGCGGCCAGCAGGGAAATGGCATGTGGGATGTACTGCTCAGCATCATGAAGAAACTTTGTGGATCTCTGTGGATAGCATGATGGGACTAAATGAGTCAGATTCTCAAGTGGCCACTGCCAGCAGGAGGTCTATTTACTTTTATTTGAGTATATTCATGCTGGGAGAATATGAACTTCCACTATCAGAGTCTGTTCTCATTTGAAGGAAGAACTCAGCATCAGCTCTGATACTGTGAGTGGAGTAGCCATGTTCTTCCCTTGAGAATCTACTGTCATGGTGAAGTAAGGGAAACCTCACCTTGAGGACTCTGGCTTTCCTGTCCAAGTACACAAGTGTCCTTGTCTTCACACATGGGCAAGGCGTAAACAAGACACGATATAAGCGTTGCAGCTTGCTTTATAAATAGTATTCCTAATAATCCATTTATATGTTTCATTACCATAGAAATAAGAGCAGTAGCACACTAGAATATGAAAATAATATGCATTAAAAGTAACTTTTATTGTGAATTAAAATTTTAAAGTTTGAAAATACATAGGCATGCTGTAAGAGTTAACAAGCCTTCTCAGAGGTTAACAGAACATCTTTGCAATTCATAGAAGTTCCAAAGCTAAACTTGTCCAGCTAATCTAAACAGACCTTTGTCTTTTAGTGGAATGTTCCATGATTCTTCCTGAGTTGTGTGCAAGGCTTAGAGCAGGATTATCTGCAGGATCCCATCATTCCAGACTGGCTTCTTACTAGAAATTGTCTTCAACCACTGAAAACTCCTTCTGAGAGAAACAACTTACTACTGCACAATGGACTCTTCAAGATCAGTTACAGATATGGTACCTTCACCTACCAACAGGACCTGTGATTGCAACTAATAAAACTTAGTTACACAGGAGGACTGGGCATTTAGATAGCAACAGATTAAAACAGAAAAAAAGTAAGGTCAGTAGAACAAAAAAGGTCATCACAGTGTGCCTCATTTGGTACAAAGGAGTGCACTTGGGTACAGAGTCAAAGCCTGGGCTTTCAGCAGCCCACAAGCCTAAAGATATTATGGGTTTGGGCCCAGACAATTCACTAAGGAAATGCCACAATACAGCAAGTCATAGACTCATGGTTTCCCACGAGTCTATGATTGTCAAAGTTGTATTGCCCAATAGTCTGCTAAGGGTACAACAGCACTTGTCTTGAAAACGCATAAGCTTAATTAAAACACTTTATATGATGCTATTAATCATATGAACTGTGAGAACAAAGTCACAGGTAGACTCATTCAAGGCAGGACTGCCAAAGATAATCTATCTGTGGGTGTAAAATTAAAATGCAATTAAGTGAGGTACATTTTATGACATGGGGGTGATGGGGGCTGGGAGTAGCAAAATCAGGAAATTATTCAAATTAGACTTCTGTGTGAAAACTTCTAGAAGCAGTACCAACTGCCTTTAAAACCATTTAAAAGTATTTAATAACCAAGTGATGTAGGCTATGGTTTCATTTCCATAATTTCACCATTTGGACTGTTTTCACTTGTGTTCAAAGATTTTATTTGTAATAAAGATCCTCAAATATCATACTCTTTTGGGCAGGGAGTTCTCTATGCCACCTGAATTCATATGTTGATAGTCTCAATCCTAACATGATGACATTAGGAAGCAGAGCCTCCCAACGGTAATCAATTCATAAGATGAAACTTTCATAATCAAATTGTTGCCCTTCTTATAAAAAGATGCATCCTGGCTCCTGGGAAGCTGGGGCAGGAGGATCACAAGTTTAAGGTCAGCTTAGGCTATGCAGTGAGCTTGAGGTTTGCCTGGCTATACCAGACTATTTTTCAAAACATTCAAATAAAGAGACACAACACAGAACTCTCTCTACTTATAAGGATGGCATGAATAAGTTACTATCTCTGAACCCAGAAGAGAGCCCTTCCTGGACATCATACAGCTAACACTTTACTGTTGGACCCAGCCTCCAGAACCAGGAACTAAGGGTTCTGGACATTCACCCTCCCCCATCAGTGGTTCTCCACTATAGTCAACAACCTGAGATGATGGAGGCACCCATCACAATCACAGTGGGATTCCTCGGAGTCCTCAGGAGAGCTCACAGATGGCCATAGTGAACTTAAGGAAAGAGAACAGGTCAGAATTGCCTCCTTTTGGGGGGAACAGGACAGGAGGCTCCACCCTTCAGCATCTCCTACCTCAGGGACAGATGAGCACCTCAGCCATCTCTATAAGGCCAAGGAAAAAATTCATCTACACCACATTAACCTGAAGCTTTATGATGGAAAACCAGGAACACCTTTGGGAAGATCCAGTCCACTTACTCTACAGATCTACCATGTGTCAGGCAGCATTCTGGCTTTTAATGACAAACAACACCATAAGGAGATATAATCCCTCAGGGCCAAGGAATTTCTTTTATTCTCTTAAGACAAACACCAAGAAGAAAACAAGTCTTATCTTGGCTTCCCATGAAAACTAGGAATCAGTCACCCTCCTCTGAGTCAGTTCTGCCAACTGCTGCTCCTAGCTGCATGACTTTCTCTTTAAGATCCCTCTGCTACTCCCCAGTTTTCCTCTGACTGGTGTCTACCCATCCATGTCCCCATCCAATGGTGGCATCTCTCTTTGTGTTACTGACCACTCAACAGGACTGATCCATGCTAGCCAACCCTATATCTCCTAGTGTTCACAGCTTCTCCCTAAAGTGTGAAGCATCCAATGATGCTGGCACTGCGGGACACTGTCCCACCAAGAGACAGGAGCCTCCCAGGCATATCCATCACCACATCCCTCTGCTGGCACCCATCTCATCAGCTCTTCATCACATCTTTTTGGTGATGCATTTTACTTACCTGCATGTCCCTTTAAGAGTGTGAGCCCCAAGAGAGCAGGCTGACACCAGTCAGCTCACCATGTGCCCCAGTGTGCCAAATGAATTCCACAGACAGTGGAAAAACAATGAGTCATTACAATTTCGTGAATACAATAAACCAAACTATTAATACACAATTGCAAATTGAGAAATCCTGCAAAGGAATGATACAGTATTCATAACCACATAAAAAGGTAACCACGGTATGTGAGGAATTGCCAAGTATACATGACATTATACAAAGAATGGGAGGCACCCATTCCACAGTGAAATTACACTGTCTGGAGAAAGGCAGGTGGAGCTGAGACAGCCCCTGAGGCAGGGCTGTGCACCCTGCACTGTCAGAGTCATGTAGCGAGTGAGAGCATGCTGCTATTCCTTACTTAATTTGAACTCTGAAGAAGTTTCCTAGTTATCTACAGTTTGATAATCACCATATCTTGCCCTATATATGAAACACTGTGCTTTGTGTGCTCCATTCCTCAAATGTTTCTACGGACCTTTGTCAGGAACAGCTGGCTAGGAGCACTGCTGTGTACCCATCAGAAATCAGCATGAAATTCTCCGGAAAACATTTCACCCGGCAGTATCTTCTAACAAAACTTCTATAGTCTTAAACTAGCCAAATGTAGATAAATGGTCATGCCAAGAACCCTTGGAGAGAAAGAACATCTAAGAAAGAATTGCCTCTCTAGTTAAAATTCTAGTAGCACAGAAAGAATGAAAGTAAGATTTCCGAGAGGAATAATAATAACAAGAATAAGAATAAGAATACATTATGGGTTTTGCTTGTGACGGAATACATGGCTATGCTTGGAAGTGAGCGTTGGACTTTAAGACATGGCATGAGGAGAGGGCAGAAAGAGTTCCTACCTGTGGCCAAATAGATGATGTGGACAAGTGTGTCCCTGCCCTGCACCACGTCGACTGCCACATGGGAGAAACGGCTGTTGTCCTCCATGAAGGAGGGCACCGTGGTCACCGGCTGTACCACCTCATGCATCAGAATGAACTTCTGAGCGTCCTGTAGGTTTCTTTCTGTCAGGTTTACATACAGGCCCTGGTCCATGGTGCCACACTGTAAGGGAAGACAGGCCATGTTACAAAAGCTGGCTACCAAGATGCCCATAGCTCATGTGCCTACCAGACAGAGAGGTAGACAGACAAGCTACAAGACAGAGTAAGCTGTGATGCACGAGTGAGTGTGCAAGTCAATCAATCCCTCCATCTCCCTTAACCTTCTCATCCCTCCTTCTCTCCCACTGTAGATGGAAACTCATCATATTTGGAATTTCTCAATGGATGGCAAAGAGAATTATGAGACCTTTTAAAAAGGAGTGGGCACTGTTGTTGACCCTAATTTGAACAGCAGATGCAGAGAATCTCTTCATGGTCTGGGAGATGTCTGTTGGATTGTAATAATATCTGGTGGAGGAGGGGAACTGACATTGACTATGAAGCGGGCGAGCACATATAGACGTATGTAATTTCTTGCTATCAGAGTGGGCTCATAAGCAACCGTGAACTCCACGGCAATGCTCTGGTATTTATCTTAATCTGCAAACAGTATCACTCACAGGGGCTACACAAACAGTGTGACTTGTCTAAATGTATTTGGATTTCTTGTTAGAGGAGAGTTTCTAGGGATAGGTTAGAGCCTGAGAATTTGACACATAAGATGGCCAATTGTTAATGGGAGAAGAAGATAAAGGCCCCGAGGAAAAGAGGGGTGAGAAAGGGAAAGAGAAGGGGAAATGGAGGATGAGGAGAGAGGAAGTGAAAATATCATGAAGGTGATCTAGTATACACAGCAGAAAGGGCAGGCCAGAAATTGCTGGAAATTAAAATCAGAGTTGTGCTGGTAAGAGGGCAGGTAGGAAAGACAGCAGGGCATTCTCAGAGTCCAGCTCAGAATCAGAAAACTACCAGGGCCTTTCTCAGTTTCTTTATAACCCTTAAAGTCTGGTACACGGAGTGAGGCTCCACAGCAGCACTTCATACAAGCAGGTTGATGGGGTCCACATGGCCCGAAACTATCATTTATAGCATGTCACTCCCAATACTTGGTTTCTATAACAGGTTAGAGGTCCAGAATATAAGATGGAAATTGCTTTTTTTGAAGGTAAATTATATTTTTGTAGCATTTGAGAAAATACCCTATAGGCCATAAAATGATAGGGCAATCGCGGAGTTAGAGAAACCTGGCGTTAAATGGACTGCACACAACTAGCCTGGTGATTAATTTAATGTTTCATTTGAGTTAGGAGCAGCTGGGCGTCATGTAAAGGAAGTGCTCAAGGTAACATAGGGTCTGCAGCAGATGACCTGTGGCCTCAAGGGAGGCCTGGCCTCTCAGCTTGTTTCTTCAAATGCTAAAGGACTGCAACACACCAGCTCTGCTCCTGTCTTCTGTCTCCTGATGTGAAGACTGAAGTAATGAAAGGAAGCAAAGCATTTAGAAATTACGTCCTTGTAAATGCCAGGGAAAAGACAACATTCCTGACATCAGATTGCAAATGCATTTGTCTAAAAGCAGGCAGGATGTTCATGGTCTGTGGAGCTTTGGTGTCCAGTGGGAAATAAGGGGATGAATAATGGGACAGACAAATGAACAAGTAATTCTACATGCAGTCGTTTGGGGTCTGGGATGACTGTACCAATAGATTTTTATATAAATAGTATTTAATAATAATACTCTGAGCATAGACACATTGCCTATCTGGAATGTGCGGGTTTTTTTTTTAACATTTTAATTATTATTACCTTTAAGTGTGTGAGTGTGTGTGTGTGAGTGTGTGTGTGTGTGTGTGAGAGAGAGAGAGAGAGAGAGACAGACAGACAGAGAGAGAGAGAGAGAGAGAGAGAGAGAGTTTACAGGTACCCAGGGAGGCCAGAGATGTCAGATTCCCACTGAAGCTGGAGTGACAGAAGGGCAAATGGGTGTGGGCTACTTGATAGGGGTTCTGAGAAAGGCAGTGTGTGTTCTTAACAGCTGAGCCATCTCTCCACACCCCTAGGCACATTTTTTTTTAAAAGCAAGAAAGATGGCCACCTGAGCTTGGTCTGAAGCCTTTCCAGGTGAGTACTAGTTCTGAAGGTGACTGTGTGTGGTGGTCAACTTGTATTGACATCAAAGGCAACACTTGAGGGATGGGTGGCAACAATGACCTACTTGCTGGCTTCAATTGCATAAAGCTACTGTTTATATTGCTGAAAACCTGGAGGTATACTCTAAAGGCAATGACCTCCTACTGCCCTTGTAAAACAGATATAGGTGACCCAGGGGGCAATTAGAGTACTAGGATCGACAATAATTTTTTACTATATGCAACAGGGCCATGTTTCCTGTATGTTGTCTGACTTTGTTGTCAGGGACTGTATTTGAAGTATTTTCTACCATTTTTTCCTTTTGTCATTCTGTAATGAATATCTCACCCAAGGATTCTGTTTCCAGTATTTTGAAAACTATTCAGATTTACTGGATGTATTTCTTGCGGTAAAGCAGCTCACTGAGCTCCCTAAGGGCTGTAACTTCTCTAGCTGAACCTTATACAGAGACTGGCCTCCCCTAGTTACAGTCAGGTACTGTGCTACCCTGGGGACTGTGTAGAAGAAGAAACTAAAAAAATGGAAAAAGCATAGCTTATGTCCTCATATGGCTCACAGCCATCAACAGCTGTCATACAATGCATGTTCCAACAAGACCAGTAATTCTATTAGTTGGCTAGGAAAATAATAAACGCTTGCGTGTTATCTGTTTCAAGCACAGTAAATCTATCCTTGTTCCAGCACATCCATGCTTGGTGGTCAAGCATAAAATGGGCTAGCTCTGTCCTTGACTACTTATCTTCCAGGGTCTCCACCCACTGGTTCCCCTTCTCCTTCACAGCTTGCTGCCAAGACAACTGTGTTGTTCATGGACCCCCAGGATGCAGCTAAATCTCAGCCTGCATTTCTCAAGCAATTTTCTCACCTGACTGCTCCTGCCCTCCCATGTTTCTATTTTGGCTGCTTCATTTTTGATTTTTGGTAATAAAACTCATGAAAGGTTCTGGAGCCTGTAGCCGAGTTGTTCTGCAGCTGCATCTGGCTGTGTTTTAAGTGGCTGAAGATCTTTTGGGGCTGAAGATCTCCTACCTCTACCAGGGCAGACAAATACGGCTGAGGGTGTGGAGATTGGGGTTTGTCAAGCAAGGCTGGTGGTTTCTGTTGTTTTGTGGGTTTTAACTGAGGTTTCTATTGATCTTTTTCCTAAACCAGTGACTCCAGTTAGTTTTTTTCCCTATTGTATATGTGCTATATAGATTCTGATTGTAAAGAGGAAAACCAAAATGACAACAATAATGTTAACAATAATAAATATAAATATCACCATTGGTTATTGTCAGTGTTGGGATACCTATACATGTCTAATGGAGGGATCTCTGGTACAAGATGAGTTTGCGCTCTCTGCCAGTCTAGGTGAGTGTTAAAACATCAATCAAACACCTATGACAATGGGGATATTAAACACAATCTAGAAATGAAGCTGTCTAAAGTAGGAGATGGACACACACAGACACACATACACACACACACACACACACACACACCACACCATACCACACACCACACACACACCACATATACACCACACATACACACCACACCACACACACACACACACACACACACACACACCATAGTTTTAAATCTATGCTCAGGGGGTGATGTCAGTTGAGCTAGCATCTTGCCTGGCATGTGTACCAGCTCCACACATGCTTCCTTCACTAATCAGGAAGGATTTATTTTACCAATAGATGAAAGCATCCTCTCAAGGTGGTGTGGGCATTGGGACACTAGGACATGAGGGGGCTTACTATGTGTTACGGATATATCTAGATGCATAGCCTAAGATACACAATGCCTGAAGCATGAAAAGGATCATGGAGCTGCCTGACTCACTCAGTTCATTGTGAAGAGTTGCATTCCAACACAATAATGCAATGGAGGGTGTTATAAATATAAGTGTCTTTGTTTTTCTAAGCTTCAAGACTTAAACACTTTTTAAGAAGGGACAATATATTTCTTCTTTATCTCAAAAAGAAGAAAAACAGTCAAAACATACAATTACTCCACATGGAGGACACAGAAAACTCCGGAGAGATGTCTCCTGTGGGTCCTTCCAATCAAACACTCTGTACAGTAATGAGGCACACTGACTGATAAGTCCAAATCTACTCGTATCCCTCCTTCCCCTTTCTATCAAGGAAGTCATGAGAGGATGCCAACAGTTTGCCCAAGGAAAGTAGTAAAAGCCAAATATGACATGCAAAGTAGTTATCTTATTCTTAATCCCATAATCTGTCAAAAAATCTTAAAAATACTGAACAAACGAAAAAAACAAATTTCAATTGTAATTGATAGATGCTTACCAAAATCTAAGTGAAAAAATTTGAATGTTTCCTTAAGCCCACTTTCTTGGAAGTTCTGAGTTTTATGGTTTGGGATGACAAACCAACCAGAGCTGGAAAAAGGACTCAGCTCTATCACTGATCAGTGGTTGCTACCAACAGAACTCGGTTGGATGAAGTCAGGGTTTTTCCTCTTTTGGTAGAGGTAGGAGCCCAGCTTGGTCTCCAACCAGATGTGGCCCTGGCTATCTTACCTGAGACTCCATGCCCCTCTCTGCACATAGAGCCATGTCACTCATGTGGGACTGATGCCACATGGAAAGTTACAAACCTGACACATTAGACATAGTGTCCAGAATTGGTGATGGTAAATGTTATGACTGAGTTGATAGTAACTCAGGGCCTACAGGGAAGGCTGCTCTTGTACATGCTGCAGCCAAATTCACATGTGCAATCTATCTCTTAGGATGGCAGTAGCTGCAGTTGCTGTAAACAGGACCTCTAGGAAGCTTTCAATGTCATAGGAGTCATGCACTAACCCATGGGATGGAGGAAGAAACACCAGGGATGATTCTTTCTTCCAAGGGAGGAAGCAAGGAAAGATGGTCATCTTCAACAGCCCACCAGAGGAACAATAATCCTGCTGGCTTATTGCTCTTGAAGGTGTAGGATACAGAATTGTGATAAAATATGGCTCTCTCTCTCTCTCTCTCTCTCTCTCTCTCTCTCTCTCTAAGCTATGGAATTCTGTTATAACAGCCCAAGCAGATGAATACACTTGCTGTGCAGATAAACAAAAATAAATAGCCTCATCCCCAGGTCTCTGCTGCTTCTGGACATGGGAGCTGGGATGGCTCACAAAGGCCATCACAGCTTGGCCATTCTTATTGGGTGACTGAGAGATGAATTAACACCAGCCAGGCTTCTTTTCTCAGCAGCCACTGCCACAATCCACCCTTCCCAACAGGAAGCCTCACCATACTTGCCAATTAGAGCTCTAATTCTGTTTGTCAAGACCCACTGCTCCATGCCCTGGGCCCCTATTCATTGGGACATCATTCATTAGGGATCAGAGATTTGGGGAACACAGTACATCATCATTAGCAGTAATTGAAGCCTGGATTCCTAGCACACTGCAGCAGATTGGCCTTTTTCAGTTAACTATCCGTCATCATGGCTCACAAAAGGCCCCCTTTTCTTGTCTGGGCGCCATAGTCCACAAAAGGCTGTGTTCTATTGACATTAGCTAAGCAGAGGGACATGGTGTCCCCAGGGGCCAGGAGACTGCAGCTGCACTGCATGCAGCCAAGGTTTAATTGCTTAGGCTCCTTATGTTGGTTTCTACATTCTTAATGGAGGACACTCACGATGCCTTCTTCCCCTGAAATTACCTGAAAATTGGGGTTGGGGTTGGGATAAGGCAGCCAGGCTGAGCGAGAGTTCTCTTGGTACTTGAAAGGTCCATTGAAGGCCTGTGAGATGGCGCTCAGGTTGAAGACACATACAGCAGAGGCCGCAATGCTGTTCCTGGAGAATGAGAAAGGAGAAGGAGCAGGCTGGTCAGAGCCCACGGGCGACCACTGACCTCCACTGATCACAGGGCTAGCATCAACCTTTAGCTTTTTCAAGTTCAAGAGTCTTATACATACCAAGGGGATGGAGTCAGGGCCATACCCTGAACTGCCTTGTTATTTCTACATGTAAAAATCAAACATTCAGATAATGAAATAAGGTTAAGTATATGACCCTGCCAGCAGGGGAATGAATTCATTCAGCTACAACAGGAGCAACAAGGGATTTTGAAAAGCTTCATGAATTTCCAATTCTAGAGGGAAGGGGTTTCATCTTCTGGTGGGAGGAGCCATCCATCCATCTTGCATGGCTTCTGCTTCCACCTATCTATCCAGTTGCTCAGGTGGCTGCAGCCAACCGTTTTTTCTTATTAAATCTATAGGTATTTGTGTTTGTCACTCTTTAAAAAATAATAATCTGAATGTATTTGGCAAGGAATGACTGTCAGATTCATCTTATTTATTATTTAAAAAGGACTTTAAATCTAAAGGGTCAGCAAGAAGAGGAAAAAAAAAACAACTAAAAGAGCACTGACATGAAATTCTGAAGCCTTGATTTAGAATTCACGTTCTATTAGAAAACTGTAAGCAGAAAGCTCTGGAAGGTCAGTGCCCTTTGACTAAGCACAGGCCCAGCAATCGTTTTTTTTCTCAAATTTGCATTTCAAGCTGAGCTATGGTTCTCACAGGAAAATGTAGACCAAATGAGGGGTGGGAACCTATTTTGCATATTAAAACTCTGAGCCAGTATTTTGTCAGGAATAAGTCAGCGTTTTCCCTACTTCATAAAAAAGTAAAGTCACGGGGCTTCTAGAACTTCACATCTAACTTGTGTTTACCTGGCAAACAATGAAGATGGAAGGACACCACCCTAAAGACTTCCCTAATCCCAATACAGTCTTGGAATCTTCAAGCTAAAAGACATGCCCATGTAAGAAAGTGAAGTCTGCTCAGTGAGATCCTGACATCTGGCCATAGACATGGGGAGTATCCTGGCTACTTTGCAACCAAGGTCTGGATCTGAGTCCTTTGTGAGAGCTCTGTGAGAGGCAGATGACACGAAAGAATGTCTTATAAAAGGTGAACTTGTTTCTAGGAGTCCAGCACCGAGAACAGAGTCCCATGTGAGACCCAGGTGCTTCTGCTGCAGGACGTTAAAAAGAAGTGGGCGCTTAATGTGGATGTATTCATTCCACCACTTTACCCTTCTTCTTATTGTCTCAGGGAAAGTAGAACATGAAAGTCTGCTATGTCCCTGTCTGTCTGGAGAGAAGCTGATGCTGGGGTGGGGGCTTCTGACACAGCAGACATTGGCGATCCTGAGGTGCAGTGACACATTTTCACTTCTTTCTAAATGGCTCAAGCATAGTACTTATAGAACATTTGAAATGGGAGCTTTGGCTGCTGTTATTTCTGGCTTAGAGCCAACAAACGGACAGCTAAGTAAGCCAAGCTCCCATTGTGTATAAGATTGATGTCAGCCGAGCAACCGAACATTCCTCTTGTGCAGCCAACATTATTTCTTAAACACGGTTTTGGGGAGCAAATCAACTTCAGAATCCATAAATTGATTTTTTTTATATATGAAAGAAAAATCCTCAAGTAGTCCAAACGACCTCTAGGGTTGAAAAGCAGATCTACAACAGGAATGGCCACCGTGAAGGGGGTGGTGGCAAGCCATCCACACTACAGTCTCCTAACTTCATGCTGAAGGAAGACAGTGCATGGAATGTTCATAGCCAGAGAGCATGAACACTCATCAGTAGTGGCCAGAGTAGAAAAAAAAAAGGCTGTTGTATAAGGGACTCTTCAGGAATGCCATTTGTAGGCAGGTTTCTGATACCAAAGTGATGTAGGCAAAAGAGGATGGTTTGGTAGATGAAGTATTTGCTGACCTAGTATGAGACCTGCAGACTAGAACCCCAGAACCCATGGAAAACCAGGAAGCCGTGGTGGCCACCTACAATTCCAGCACTCAGAAAGTAGAGACTGGGATCACGGGGAGAGACTGGCTAGCTAGAATGCCCAGGATTGGCTTATTCTAAGTCCAGTATGAGACCCTGCCTCAGTAAATAAAGGAGAGCAATGGAGGGAGATATCCAACACCAACTTTGGACCTCCAAACTCATATACATACACACAAAGGAACACATATGAACACATATATGTGCATGTATATACACATACCACACACACACACACACACACACACACACACACACACCAATGGAGCGAACATCACAGGGTAACCCATTATCCAGTTTGGGTAGAAACAAGATTTCCCAGGATGCCATGTCAGCTATCAACAGTGAAACAAGAGTGAGGTCAGAGACATGGGTCAACACCCCACTCATGAGCAATGTTTCCATGCATCTATCTGACTTGAATCCTTTGCTTTGGAAAGGATTGCTTGACCTTTGTCTAAATTGTTGGATCTCCAGGTTGGAGCTCCAAACCAGAACCTGTACTATAGAACTAAACTGTCACTGCTAATAGAGGAGTACATCCCAGCATCCCCACATGGTCCCTAGTTCCCAGACAGGCAGGAGATGCTCTTGTGAGGTCTTCTCACAGTATAACAGCGAGGCCTTGGAAGCCAATGCGGACTCCTGAGGCATTCCACCTAGGAAAGACTGAATGAGAGCGCTGGAAACTCCCCAAGCTTTGCTCAGTCAAACACTGTTGTTGAGGCTAGGAACATCTTCCCAAAGAAACACAAGGTACTAAGAGGGGAAAACAGCAATTGCATTGCAAGTAAATGCAGAGGTCCAGGGAAGAATGATGTGATTGCAAAGCTCAGACTTTACAGACAATGTTGTTTATATTATGCAAAAATGCATGAGTTTTCCTATAGAAAAAAATGCATCTAACATATATGTGCACTTCACAAGGAAGGAGCAATCCATAATACAATAATCTGATACTACTTTTTCCTGAGGACAAATAAAAATTTTTTTTTGAATTAGCTTTCCTGAAGGAAGTCCAACAAAGCATGTATCTTTACTTAACATTTAATTCATACTGAAAAGACTCTTTCTGTCATGCTTTGGCTGTTAGCCCAGGAAAATAAGAAAAACTTTCTCTAAAGCAACTTTAAACCCTCAGAGGTTGAAGAACAAAAGGCTCATTCAGGAAAAGTGGAAGAGAAGGGAGAGAGAGAGAGAGAGAGAGAGAGAGAGAGAGAGAGAGAGACCACATCAGCTACAGCTACTTACACATTGGTGGTGAAGATGCCGTAGATCAGGTCCAGCTCGGGCAGGAAGAAGGTGCCCTGTAGCTCGTTGTAGTAGAAGGGCACCTCACCGGGCCGGGAGCAGTTGAGGCGAGCCTTCATGAAGGTGGTCCAGGTGTCCTCCAGGAGAAATCGCCCGCCAATGTCATTCTTGCAGACCCGGGCGGCCCTAGAGAACACTGTCTTCCCACAGTCATGCTCCACAGCATTTTCTCGGAAGAAGAAGTAGGTGAAATTGGCAATGTCATAGGAAGACACAAAGTTTGGCTCTAGAAACAAGAGGAGAGAAGAAAACATCAACATCATATGCTAAACCTCTCTTGGAAAGTCTCGTCTGATAATGTTTTCTTCCAAGGAAAGATGATTCTGTTTGACAACAACTAGACCTTGCAAGAAAAAAGAGAAACATGAAAGATTCTGCAAGCAGCTGACTGATAAGTGCTGCAAGAAAATACATGGTTGTGCATGTGTCTTAGTAAAAGATCAACAGTGTGGTTCTACCATCAATCACCCTGCTAAATCTATGCTCAAGTTCTCAAGGCAATAGCACCATTACAAGCTCATGTATTTAGAATATATGCATACACATGTGCACATATACAGCCAACAACAATTAATGACAAAATAGGCCATGGATTTGAAAGACAGCAAGGAGGGGCATATGGAAGAGCTTGCAGTAAGGAAAGGGAAAGAGGAAATGATCTGATTGCATTATAAAAAAAAAAGAAACAAAAAAATTTCAAAAATGAAATAAAACAATTTAATAGCATAGGTTCTCAGATCAGTGAGTGTTGTCCTGTTTGAAAATCCTTAAACTTTAGAAAGAAGAAGAAAATAAGGTACAGAGGACTGATTGTGTTGGGGAATATTGGGCTCTAATAGCGTATGAAACTGAAACACACTTGCATGTTACTGGACATAATCTATAAGCTTTCACTAAGGTCCATAAAATGACTTTTGATGGCAAAAAACAGAATCAAAACCTCATACAGCAAGGTTGATACCCTGAATTAGCTTTAGCATCCGCTGTTACTATGGTGACCCTGCAACTGTGACAATCAAGCCTTGTTTTCTGATTTCTAGGTCACCAAGGGAATCGACAGAGAGGGACAATGAGTGTTGAAATAGAGTCTGAAATCTTTATAGTCTCAAAATCAGCTGAAATATAGGCATCTAGAAATGCTAAAATCAAGGCAAAGCCTTTATGTAACCGACAAGCTTATTAGGACATTGGGAATCAGAAATTTACACGTACCATTTAGAGTGTTATCTTCTTAATTTGAGGCTGAGCCTAATAATGGAGATGCTAGGTTTTTACACACTTATATGCCCTAATTCTTTTCCTTAAAAACTCCAGTAGCCAGTTCCACAACCCGATCCTTCATCTATTTCCAAGGCAACTCAGTTCATTCAGTAAACATCAGAATATTGTGATTGCAATGATTATGGCAATAACCTTTGATGTTCAGAATGAATAGGAAGACACAGCAGTTACATATACAAGGATTCCCTTTTAGGGACAATTTGCTTTGTTGTGGGGAAACTCACCTGGACTTGTGCTTGACAATAATTGATTGATTGCACCAGTTTGCCTTCTATTGACAGAATGGCTGAGAACAGCCCTGCCAGCAAGATAAGCCTTTGGATGTTAATAGGACACAAAACAGCTCACCTAGGATCTGGGACAGTCAGGACATAACATCAATGCTGATCCTACCTTTAGTATGTCCAGCAAAACTGCCACCAATTTTCAGTCATCTATCTCATCAAAAAAGTCTTAATATGACTACATTTTAAAAATAAATAAATATCATAAATAGCATATCTATTCTGCTTTTCCCTCTAGTTTTCTTCAGTTCTCTTATGCTAATTAAGTAAATCAAAGGATACATAGAAATCTTGACAATAAATGATTATAGTTTCTATGCCACCAAGCATTTGTTTTCTAGGTCACTGCTGCTTTAACCTGAAACAGATACATTAGCAATAAACAAACTGAACTGCACTAGAGCATATGACCTGGATAAAAGATGTGTGCACAGTTACTGTATGTACACTTCAGGATCCTGGAGAGATGCTCATTAAGTCAAGTGTCTGCACAGGACACAATTAAAATAGTGAGGGATTTTTTAAGTGATAACAACTAAGAATCTCCAAGAGAGAACTACTGCAGAAACAGACACTAAAATGAAAGATAGGGACTGATGACAAAACTATATTTAGTGTTTAAAAAGTCATCTGCAGAGCTTCACAGAAATGACTTCTAACTCATTTCAGAATGTATCCTGCATCCAGGTTAAATGACCAGATTACACTTTGAGAGTTACAGCCCAAAACAAGCAAACTCACTCATCACTAACACCTTCACCACCACAACTACCATTATCACCACCACCACCACCACCACCACCATCACCACCATCACCACCACCATCAATAACACCAATAAATCCTGTGTGAACTGGAGGAGATATGGGCTGGAGAGAAGGCCTAGCATTCTGCTCTTCCAGAGGGTCCAAGTTAGGCTTCCAGTATCCACATCATGGAGCTCATAACTACCTGTAACGCTAGCTCCAGGGCCCTATAGCCCTCTTCAAGGACTTTATTACCAATGCACTCACATGTAAACATCCACAATCATTCGCACATAACTAAAAACAAAATGAATGTTAAAAAATAAACTTGATAAAATACAGACAACACTAGACCAGAATGTGTCCTGCCTGGGGCTAAGGTTAACAGTACTCTACTGGAAAGAGTGTGGTAGAATTCACCAAGATTTATCAAATACACTCACAAACAGTCACTTCTGCCGTTAATAAGAGATGAATGTGTGAAAATGCGTGCTATGTATCTCTAGTACGTGAGAATTGTCGAGAAGCAGAATAACAGCAAAGGATCCATCCTTGTTTTTGCATTTGAGTTTATAATAAAAATAGCTGCACTCAAAGGAACTAGTTCTTGAGCTAAGCTATTTCTGTGCCACTGAACTCACAAGGACCAGAGAGATGGGTGACATATTAAGATGCTACTTCATAGTGGAGGACACTAAAAGGTTTAACAACTCAGCCAAGCTTACAAAACAGCATTGTGGGTGATGAGAGAGCCAAGGAAGCCAGGAATCAGGATGTCTAGGGTGGTGAGAGAGTCTAGGAAGCCTGAAATCAGGATGTCTAACATTAGAACCTGTACATTCATTAATAGTTACAAAGGAGTGAAAAAGAAACACTGTTAAAAAACAAAACATGTTATTCTATAAGCTCTTCAAAATTGGATTGGGGGCTGAGGAGATATCTCATGGAATAAAACACTCATTTTGAAAGTAAGAGGACCTGAGTTCAAATCTTAAGCACCCATGAAACAGTCAGATATGGCCATGTGTCCATTTGAGGGAAGAGACAAATGGGTTCCATGAGCTCACTGGCCAGGCTTCCTAAACAAAATGTTGAGTTGCAGGGTCAGTAATAGACCCTGTTTCAAAAACTAAGGTGGAGAGCAAGAGAATAAGACATTCTAGGTGTTTCCATGGACCCCACATGCTCAAATACAGACCTGTGTAGCTTCACAGTTATGTGCACACACACTGCACACATAGTGTATAAACACACACACACACACACACACACACACACACACACACACACAATAATAGGAGCAGATTTTTGGTCAGCACTCTTGTATGAAGAGCCACAACCTTCAACTGATAGTGCTAAGTAGGTTTAATTGGGCACAAGCTGAAGAGGATTTAGAATGAACTAGAAAAGATGGTGAAATGACTAGAGGAAACACTACCCCTCCACTCTCAGGAACACTATGGATGAAAAAGGAAGAAGGAACTGTGTGAATAAGAGGTCAGCTGTTCAAGGGCTTCATGAACAAGAATGCCACTGGGAATAAGTAAGCAGCCCCAGAATTGCAGGTTTCAAAGGAACATCTACAGCTGGCCATTAGGTGCTCTGCTAGCACACTGTCCACTATGTCTCATGCAGTTTTCCCATGGAAAAGGTAAGTATTTTGGGCCACAGCTTCCTTTTTCCACAGAAACCCCCACTAGTTTTCCAATCCTAAATGGCAGTGATGCCTACAATTAGAAATGCTCAAATGCGCCTTTCTTTCTCATTGGAGGAAACAGAACTTGTGTTGAGCCTGTAGTAACTGTTACTCTCAAGTTTGCTACCTGCAGGTCATCTGGCATGAGGACTGAGTCCATTTGGAAACAGGTCCTGCTGCCCTACAGCCAACCTGGGGACAATGATGGGCACCAGTGTAACCAGCTGCTAAATTAGGAAGCTCCATTTCTTGGAAAGCAGGTATTTTGAAATTCATTTAGCATCCTGTTCCTTTTCCAATCACAATAGAAACACCAAAATACTGATCAGACAGGCAGCCAAGTATCTTCTGTGTTTATAGACATAGATCAGAGAAGAAGACACCAATCTCACCAGGCAGAATCGAAAGGTGCACATTGTTTTTCCCACCCTTGTCTCTTGTTAAGACACAATTCACTGCAAAGTAGTACGTATCATTCTTGAAGGAAGTGGAACAAGCCACAAATCAGGCATCACTGCCTTGCTTATGATGGTTATTACAAAGAGCAAGAAGAGAGATCATTTACATGTCATTACTCTCAGAGCTACAGATGAACAGATGCTTTCCTGTTGACTCATGCAGAATAGGAAGAGACATGGCTCAAGGTGAGCATGTCTATAAATATGTAAACGGAGAAGTTGACTTTTTTCATATTTTTAAAACAGTGAACTACAGATTACAGAATATTATGCAACAATATTATGACAGACAAATGAAGAGGGTTAGCCATCATGATATAGGAAGAGTGTTACATCTTCCAGAATGATGACTGTAGCAAGAAAAGACTCAATATAAACATACATGGGTGATAAGAGGAATGGCACAGCAACAAGCATCTCAAACGTGTCCGGCCATGTAAAGTCAAACAGTGACTGTCTGGACGTCTCCTAACCTATACCTCCTACTCTAATGCACTCACTTGGGAATATAGTATTCCCAAAGGGCATAATCTGGGGATTGCTACACTGGTAGTTGCTGCCATAGAAGAATCAATGAGAATAGATATGAAAGACATAAAAGAACTCTAATTTTTCAAGCTTATGAAATTATTACTAGACTCAAAATCCATGAAGACAACCACTTATAAACAAAATACCACCCAGAAAAATTAATGCCAAAAGCAGAGTTGGTATAACCGGGGATATGTTGTGGGGCACTGCTCTGGACTGAAACATTGGCA